CATGTGATAAGTGAGTCCTGATGATTGTATGAAGCTCTTCCCACACTGATGGCACGTGTGCGGTTTCTCTCCAGTGTGAATTCTTTCATGTGTCACAAGGTGGGCTTTTCCTTTGAAACTCAGTCCACACTGAGAGCAGGTGAACGGCCTTTCTGTAGTGTGAGTTTTCTGATGCTTTCGCAGATATTCAGATGTAATGAAAGTCTTTCCGCATTCAACACAAGCATGATTTTTGACAGAAGAATGGATCTTCTGATGCTTCTTGCAGTTGGCCAGCCGTGAAAAACTCTTTCCACACACTGGACACAAATGAGGCCTCTCATGTAATTCCATCTCATCTAAAACAAACATATTCATAGTGATACTTAACAAATCATGCTGCTGTGATTTTGTAACTATAAGGCTTTGCTACCTTAAAGGGATAGTTCACCCAAAAATGAAAATTCTGTCATTAATTACTCAAACCTGTAAGACTGTTCATCTTCGGACACAAATTAAGATATTTTTGATGAATTGTGAGAGCTCTCTGACCCTCCCATAAACAGCAAGGATCCTTACACGATCAAGGCACAGAAACGTAGCAACGAGATTGTTAAAATAATCCATGTGAAAAGGTTCAACCGTAATTTTACGAAGCTACGAGAATACTTTTTGAGCGCAAAGAAAACAAAAATAACTTTTATTCAACAATTCGTCTCCTCCGCATAGCGCCATTTTGGAGAGTATCACATATGTAAACAACGTATGCGGTTTTGTGTCGTAACGCGGATATGTTGTTTATGTTGTTTACGCCTTGATCTGAATGTAAACAATGTATCGGCGTATAGGGCTGCACGATACATTGAAATGGAATCGAGATCGCGATTCGACAGAAGCTGCGATTGTCATGCGTATCTTTCAGTGAAGCACGGTTCTGTGATCAGCAGTAAATCTCCATCCGAAGGCCAGAGGGCGCTCTCGCGCTGAAACTCCAAATACGCCTCGCAGCTGAATAAACAGAAGATTCAACTGCTTTCATTGATTCAACGTGACTAATAAACACACGACTATGGCAATATACGGTTTATCTGAGTTCTTATTATTATAATTTTCATTCAAATAAAGAATATTTATAATGCAATGCCTTTATCACTGCTTAAATACTATGAAATATGTTGCGTGCCTTATTCTGTGTAAGAAGCCACATCATCTCACAGAAGGATTTATTTCAAACACTCGACTGACGTTATGAAGTGAGTTTGGAGTAAAAATATGTTATTAAATGTAGTATTTTCACATGCTTTCAGATGGAGCAGCATTTACTTCACAGAGCCGTAGTTCACTGAGAAGCTATGCAAACAGCTGTCATTATCGCGAACGATTTCTTCGATTTCAGAATCGCGCAATAAAATCGCGAATTTTTTTTGCGGAACTTGTCAGTGAACTATGGCTATGTGTAGTAAATTCTGCTCCATCTGAAAGCACGTGATGATGATTTCCTGCTGATTATAGAACCGGCATTACTATCAAAATGCGCATGACAATCGCATTCGATTAATCGTGCAGCCCTATCCACGTACATACTTTGTTTACGTATGTGATACTCTCCAAAATGGCGCCAGGGTGATGCGGAGGAGACGAATTGTTGAAAAAAGTTGTTATCCTTGTTTTCTTCGCGCACAAAAAGTATTCTTGTAGCTTCGTAAAGTTACGGTTGAACCACTGATGTCACATGGATTATAACTACGTTTCTGAGCCTTGATTGTGTTAGGATCCTTGCTGTCTATGGGAGGGTCAGAGAGTTCTCGGAATGCATCAAAAATATCTTAATTTGTGTTCCGAAGATGAATGAAGGTCTTACAGGTTTGGAACGACATGAGGGTGAGTAATTAATGACAGAATTTTCATTTTTGGGTGAACTATCCCTGTAATGTTCCTTAACATTCAATAATGAAGAATTAAAAAAAAAAAGAACACCGACCACTTTGTTCCTAATCATCTTCATGTATCTCGCTGCTTGGATTTGGATAATTCATTTCCACAGTATTTCACACAAGTTTAGATGTCACACATGGAGTTTGACAAATATATTGCCAGCATTTACTGGTGAACTGATATTGTTGTTGTCTGTGGCTTCACTGCAGGTGTGAAATGCTGTGTGGCAAAGAGGCGAAAAGCACCAGACATGGCAAAATCTAAATATGTCAGAAATGCAAAGTATTTTAGTAAGGTCTTATATTAGTAGCATTAAGATTATTCGAATAAATGTGTCTGCTAAATAACAACAACAACAATAATAATAATTATTATTATTAAATCCACATTGTGTTCCAAAAAGTTTTAATATATAAATGTTACAATAGAAACGGCATATAAATAGTTCGCAGCTGTTACCCCTTAACTGTCACTCACATTTTTGAACATAGACATGAAAGTGCACAATCCAAACTTACATTTTTATAATTCATGAACGAAAACATTTTGTAACATGATATTGATGTACCACTTTCATGGTAATGCAATGTTTGATTTTAAAATGGGTTTCAAAGGATGAATTTTGAGATTTAAAGTTTTCAATTGATACATCATTTCTGATGATTTCTGAAGTGTGATCGAGAAAAAGGCAACAAAGAAAACCTTTTGCTACAAAGGTCAGAACTCCTGTTATGATGTAGATTTTTGAGGTGCACTCTTGTCGATCTATTACTTTTCCTACATAATTGTTAACAAAAACATTGGTAAAATATCTATTTAGGAGTCTTAGACCTTTCCAACGATATATAGTTTGTCACGATTAGATTAGGATTTAATTGTAATATAGTGAAGTAAACTTAGGCGTCCCACAGAGGGGACGGGTGACAGTTAAAGGGTTAAAATCATTAAATAATAGATAAATATAGACAAACAAAAAAAATCACAATCTTAAATGCAAACAGGTCAGAAGAATGTTCGGCGGGAACACATTTCATTCTCTTTAACACAGCAACTGACATTTATTTTTCCTGTAAATGATATGGTTTTATTAAAATTTAAATAAAAAAAAAATATTAAAATGCATATTTTTAAAAATTGCGCTCAGTCATTTTAACACGCATGCGCGCGCGTATTTTAAGCTTGCTTACAATTATGATAATCTTGCGAAATGGATACACGCGCATTACCTTAAATTCAGAATATAAAATATAAGTTAGCGCTGTGGAAAGAAACGGTAGAAGGGTCCATGCATCAAAACACGATGCGACAGCGGGCTGTGGACAGAGTGGCATGTGATACAGTGCACTTCACCAGCAGAACAGAAAATGTACCTGCATCAGGTGTTCTGGTTTTCTAGGAATCGTACATCCCCCACGTGTGTCTGCATACGGCATCCGACGGCGATCATCCACAATTTCAATACAGCCTCGTCAGTTAATATCAACGACCATTTTTACCTTGAACCGGTGAAACTCTCAGCTTTGACTGCACTCGTCTCTCTCGCACTGTTTGGGGGCGTGGCTATCGCTCCCTCATAACTACTCTCGTTGGCTCGTGCATGGATTGATGAGCAAATTAATCGTTTTATATCGTCCATAAACAACATTAGTTAGCAAATCGAAAATCGCACTTGGGTCTCGGTTTTTATTACTTTAAAATTATGTTTTCTGAAATATAGGGATGTAAAATATGCCAGGCTGTAGTTCACAAAAACGACCACCAGGCGGAGCCAAAATCCAACTTTTGTGATTTCACTATTTTCCATTTTTTTTGCGGGCCGAGTTAAAATATTTTGGTATTTAACAAACAGTTTATTTGGTGCCCGCGACCCTAGAGACAATAAGCGTTTTGGAAAACTGATGGATGGTTTTCATTTCATTTGCCACATAAAGACACAGACATGTAAAGGGTAGCGATGGTCTCTCTCTCTCTCTCTCTCTCTCTCTCGCTCTCTCGCTCTCTCTCTCTCACTCTCTATCTCTCTCTCTCTCTCTCTCGCTCTTTCTCTCTCACTCTCTATCTCTCTCTCTCTCTCCTCAGTTCACGCAACTGAGCATCGCACCTTACCTGACTCTTATTGGTTCTGTTGTTTAATTTAGACGTGTTTTTGAACCTCTCATCGAATGTTCTTATTGTGTAAGTGTGAGAGAGATCAGGAAGAACAGAAGGACCAGAGGAGTTGTACCACCAACTGTTCTGCTTTCTTTTTTTCCCATACCAGTTTTCAAAATTAACCTTTGCTACATTGATGTAATCCCAATGCTGATGTAATTTCAACAAATCTCACTCTTTAATGCGTAAAATAATTCAATCTAATTGAGTTCATCTTTTTAAGCATATCCTATTTTCACCAGTTTGTTTGGGTCACATGAATTGTTATTAATTAGACTGAAAAACTTTCAGTCGTCTTTCAATCATCTGAAGCGTTTACTGAAAGCATGCTCTTCAAAAAATGCAAGAATAAAAATACACAAAAGAGCAATATACTTTTGCCACAGTCTCCAAAATAAAAGAAAATCACTACAAATCTTGTTTCAAAGCAGCTTTATTTGAAAAACTCGATTTGAACGCATAACATCTGCATTAACAGAATTTTATTTATTTGAATGGCTGTGCAGATGATTGAGAGCTGATGAATGAGGTTCCTCTCCAGCATGTGTTTGTATGTGCCTGTTTAAGTGGCCTTTTTGTGTGAAACTCCTTCCACACTGCAGGCAGCTAAACGGTTTTTCATCATTATGAATCCTGTGGTGCTGCTTCAGATGGCTAGCTGCTGTAAAGCTCTTGCCACACTCAAAACACATGTGATCCCGCACAGCATCATGGATCTTTTGGTGCTGTTTCAAAGAGTCCAGCCGTGGAAAACTCTTTCCACACAAAGAGCATTTATGGGGCCTCTCATTCATATGAAGTGTCAGGTGTTTTTTTAGATTTGCTGATGAGGTAAAATTTTTCCCACACTGATCACACTTAAATGCTTTTTCTCCAGAGTGATGACGCATGTGATAAGTGAGTCCTGATGATTGTATGAAGCTCTTCCCACACTGATGGCACGTGTGCGGTTTCTCTCCAGTGTGAATTCTTTCATGTGTCACAAGGTGGGCTTTTCCTTTGAAACTCAGTCCACACTGAGAGCAGGTGAACGGCCTTTCTGTAGTGTGAGTTTTCTGATGCTTTCGCAGATATTCAGATGTAATGAAAGTCTTTCCGCATTCAACACAAGCATGATTTTTGACAGAAGAATGGACGGGTAGATTAGATTAGATTAGATTGAACCCCCAAAATAAAGTCAAAACAAAAGGTTGCAAGTCTTACAGTAAAAGTACATATAAGTCTAAATATTTTTCAGTCAGTGTTATTTGCAGTGTTATCTTAGTATCTGCGTTTTTTATTAATATAAATATAAAATGGTTCGTTTTTAATAATTTTTATTTCAGTTCCATGTTAAACTACATAAAATAAAAAGTAGAAATGTTACCTTTGCAAATAAAAATAAATGTTTTTTTTCCCAGTTTATTTTAAGTTTGAAAATGTTTTTAATTGGCTTTAATTTTAGTTAACATTAATAACCCTAATTTCAGTACATCAAAATGATTACATATTGGGGAAAAATTGTGTGTTTTAAGGTGAATAACCTTAAGTGAATAACACATGTAGTTATGCTTCTTGACTCATTATATTAGGTTGCAATTTACATGAATCACGTAAATGATACTTTCAAATCAAAACAGCAACATTTTACCAAAAAAGAGTTTTCCTTACTTTGGCCATTTAACATTTATATTGTAAAACAGTTGTCAAATATGAAATGTTTGGCTTCTTACATCACAATGGATTTCACAATTGGCTGAACAATAAACCCTGTTTTCTTTGATGTGATGCATCTCAAACATTTTGACATTGACGAGTGCTGTTCAACATTAAAAACTGTTACAACATACAGAATGGTGCATAATGAAGTGCAACAGAGCTGCATCAAGAATATCAAATATTGAGGTGGACAATTTGACCAAATCTGTTTATTGGAGGGGACGTGCCCCCCTTATTTTATGGTGGTTACAGCCCTGATGTTTATTGAAACATACTTAAAACAGCATACTGTTATTATTGTAAATTCTCCATTCGATTAACAAAGTCGCTCAATCCCACAGTTGCCTGAGCCACGGGCAGCATGACATGTGTGTGTGTGTGTGTGTGTTTGTGTGAGAGAGTGTGTGTCCAGAGAGTTTGCTGAACTCTGTCATGTCTCATCTCCGGTAATCTTTGTAGAATTAAGTTCAGCTCAGTCCATTAGTGCAGCCTAATGGAAGCATCTGAGAGTTTAGAGTCACTTGGAAAACTGCAGTTATTACAACAGGGTTTAAATCGGGAGATAATATGTCAATTAGTAATTATAGACCCATTAGTATTTTACCCGCAGTTTCAAAAATTACAGAAAAATGGATCTCCGAAACAAATAATATTACATTTAAAAAACACATCATTTTCATTGCATCCTATGCAGTTCGGTTTTCGAAAGTACCATTCAACAGAAACCGCAAATTGTCTTCTTTTGGAAAATATTAAAGCAAAATTAGATAAAGGTGGTGTGGTGGGAGCTGTTTTTCTGGATTTAAGGAAAGCATTTGACACAGTAAATCATGAGATTTTAATTAAAAAGCTGTTAAATTATAAATTTCTCAATAAGAGTAATTAAATGGATAAAATCATATTTAACGGATAGACAACAGTGTGTTCGAGTAGATAATAAAATCTCACAATCACTTATTAATTCAGTTGGTGTACCTCAAGGATCAATATTAGGTCCTCTGTTATTCAGTTTGTATATTAATGATTTGCCTGATGTTTGTGCACCTGCTGTAAATTGCCAGATGTATGCTGATGATACAATTATATATTTGCATGCTAAAACTAAAAAGGCAATCAGTATTTTCTTATAGAGCAGTACATACTTGGAATACTATACCCATAGAATTAAGAAATATTACATCTCTTGCTCCTTTTTCTGAATCGGTAAAAGGGTGGTTATTGGATAATCAAATATGTCTTTATAAATTGAAGTAGTGTTTTTTTTTATTTTTTATTATTGTATTCTGTTTTTTGTAATATGTTTGTTTCTGCTTTGTGTATTTGTGAATTATGGTTCTTACCATCAACCTGCCAGGGACTGCAGATGAAAATTAGCCTGAATGACTAAATCTGGCACATTTACATAGTAGACTTGTTTACTCATGTTAATTAATGTGTATTGTCCCTTTTAAATAAAATAAAAACAAACAACAAACAAACAAACTTAATCAGGCATCTTCACATTATGTGATCAGAGAGGCATGATTTTGGGCGTTACTGACACTACCATCCAGGGCCGTTTCTAGCCAATTTGACGCCCTAGGCGAAATCTAAAATTTTCAGACACCAGTTGCTTGTCACATTCAAATTGGTTGTCATAGTAACTACACTAATTTGTGGAGATTCAGTGCATTGAGTTCCACAAATCTGAATGCATTATTTGTAAATTGACTGTTAATATAAACATTGTGCACAATTTAGTATCTGTAATATCATTGTGTTGCCACTAGATGCCTGTATAGCCCTATGTAACAATCCCTAGTGGCTAAGACATTGCACATAATTTACACATAAATCACACATCAATTAATTTTATTACATTTTGATTGGGATACTATATACTATACTACTTCATATTATTTAGTATGTATATGTTCTTAAAGATCAAAAAATGCCTTTGACATCTCATAGACAGTCTTTTTTTAATTAAACAACATAAATCATTGTACAACGTAAGACTTATTGGCTGCTGTAAGCTGCCAGCTCATTTTTAAATGGTTGGTCATAAAATGCACTGATTTATGATTCAACTTCAGACTGCAATATGGGCTCGGCAATGTGTATCTGCCTCAATTATAGTCTTTCTTTACCGCACATGCATGTCATTTGAACATGAATTTTCTCCACAAGTGCCTACAGGGTCTTGAGGATTTGAAAAACTGCTGCATCTAAAGACAGATCGACTAAAGAACAATCCAGAAAGTTGCTGGTTGTAGTCCTAACATTGTTGTGTGATGCTTACAACAACCTGTCTCCTTAAATAGACACTGAAGTAAATTTGGCTTGCATTCTTTACTTCTTTCATTTTTGATATGGAAAGAAAAGTCCAGTCAGCCTGATCAAGCACAGTGTAAAGGGTGACATTCATAGCAGTGTGAATTGATTGGCAGTATTCTGAGAACCGTGCCTTTGTGAACATTACAGAGGATGTAATCTTGTGTTTAGAAATGCAGAAGTATTTCAAAACAGATTTGCTTTTTAATTAAATCGAAGATCACATCTCTCTCTCTTTCTCTTAGTGAATAAGCACAAGCCATGGATCGAGAGCTCATACCACGGCATCATCACAGAAAACACAGATGCGGTTCTGTTGGATCCTCCTTTAGTGGCTCTGGACAAAGACGCTCCAGTTCCGTATGCTGGTAAGAAAGCAAGAAATGAGCACTTTTATAGGCTACTGGGTTTGTAGTACAGCGCTGCCCACACGTCTTTCCTGAGGCCGTCTCAGCTGATGAGTGTGTGTGTGTGTGTGTGTGTGTGTGCATGTCTGTGTACTCCATCTGTTCTTTCTGATTATTAGATGCTTTATGCTTTTCCAGATCCCCTGCTGGTTCCCCTGCCAGATCACGCTGCCAATGTATCAGATACTCCAGCTGAACTGTATTTCTCTGATACACTTAAACTGAGTCACTGCTTAAGAACACACACATATGCACACACACATGGCCAGCATTGCCTATCTATCTATCTATCCATCCATCCATCCATCCATCCATCGCCTGTTGTTCTATCTATCTATCTATCTATCTATCTATCTATCTATCTATCTATCTATCTATCTATCGCCTGTTGTTCTATCCATCCATCTATCCATTCCATTCATCCATCATCCCCTGTTGCTCCATCCATCCTTCCATCACAGGTTGTTCTATCCATCTATCATCACCTGTTGTTCTATCCATCCATCCATCACCTGTTGCTCCATCCATCCATCCATCACCTGTTGCTCCATCCATCCATCACCTGTTGTTCTATCTATCCATCCATCCATCACCTGTTGTTCTATCTATCCATCCATCCATCACCTGTTGTTCTATCTATCCATCCATCCAGCGCCTGTTGTTCTATCCATCCATCTATCCATTCATCCATCTATCCATCACCTGTTGTTCTATCTATCTATCCATACATAGCCTGTTGTTCTATCCATCCATCTATCCATTCCATTCCATTCATCCATCCATCCATCACCTGTTGCTCCATCCATCCTTCCATCACATGTTGTTCTATCCATCCATCATCACCTGTTGTTCTATCCATCCATCCATCCATCACCTGTTGTTCTATCTATCCATCTATCCATTCCATTCATCCATCCATCCATCACCTGTTGCTCCGTCCATCCATCACCTGTTGTTCTATCCAATCATCCATCCATCCATCCATCACCTGTTGTTCTATCCATCCATCATTACCTGTTGCTCCATACATCCATCCATCACCTGTTGTTCTATCCATCCATCATCACCTGTTGTTCTATCCATCCATCCATCACCTGTTGTTCTATCCATCCATCATCACCTGTTGTTCTATCCATCCATCAACACCTGTTGTTCTATCCATCCATCCATTGTAAAACCATCATTCAGTTTGTCTTGATAAACTTTGCTTCAAAGTTAAAAATACAGTCATATATGACTTTCTTTGAATTGTATTGCATTCCATTAGATTCTGAATGTCAATTCTGGTTCTATCCATCCATCCATCACCTGTTGTTCTATCCATCCATCATCACCTGTTGTTCTATCCATCCATCACCACCTGTTGTTCTATCCATCCATCCATTGTAAAACCATCATTCAGTTTGTCTTGATAAACTTTGCTTCAAAGTTAAAAATACAGTCATATATGACTTTCTTTGAATTGTATTGCATTCCATTAGATTCTGAATGTCAATTCTGCATCCTGTTTTCTGCCTCACTTCAATTGAAAATGCGTCTCAGTTCAGTTCTGAATGGCGAACAACCCTGCAGTTCCAATCATCTTGGAATTATAAAGCGTCTCAAAGCAATTTAACAAGATACAGGTGGAATTCATTTTAAAATAACAATTAGCATAGTTCAAAAAGGAAGTCTTTCTTTTTACCCTCCCTCCCTCTTTTTACCCTATTCTTTCGTTTTTCCATCTCTGATGATTCAGTGCCACTGGCGGTTTTAATTTTCTCTCCATAAAATACTATCAGATTTAACAATCTCTTCTCTTTCTTATTCCTCCTAAATAAATGAGTTCTTTGGGGAGTGTTAGTGGAGTTTTTACTGACAGAATTCTAGTCAGACAGCTGCTGCTGAAAGAGACCCAACCCTTCAGAAAGACACTGAGATCCCTAATATCTAAAACACACACACACACTTCTGAATTTCTGTTTTTTTTCTCCTAAAATGTAATCAAAATGAAGCCATGACATGTATCTATGTACGAATATTCTATACTTTACATACCACTCTTGGTGCATTCCAATATTACAGAAAATAATAGCACAAAATATCACCCAACACTATTGCACTGTTCTTTCAATAAACTTCCACTTTGATCTACATTAGTTTGCGTGTAAGTTTCTGCAGACATACAGCCCTAGAGCCCAAATGAAGCTGTGCTTCACTGTGATTCTGTGAAAGCATCATGAGTGCTTTTGCATGGGAAAATGACCTTGCATTGGGGTTTCAGAACATTTCTAGACACCAAAATAATATTAATAAGAAAACGCACACATTTTACCAGTGAAGTGACATCTGTGCATCTCCACTGTTCGGAAGCACCGTTATCACCACAGCAGAACTGATACTGAAGCTCAGATGTGGTTTTAGAAAATGCCACCTGTTCACATCTTCCCCAACATATTCTTTCATGTGATTTATTGCTACATGTGACCTTTACACAAACATCCCTGACTGTATTCTGACAAGAAAATTAATTAACTAGTGTACATAATACATTCCCTTGAGAGGAACGGAAAAGGGAGAAAGAAAGAAAGTATAAAGGAGTTCTAGGTTATATCTCATAAAAATACAGAGCAAGAGTGTATTATTCTTCATATTAAACCACCAAAAACAAGCTAAATAATTCTGTTGTTACAGGGACAAAAATATATATTAATATATTTATGTTACATATATTACATTTTTACATAAAAATAAAAAATTAAGTAAAAGAAATTACATTTTCTCAAATCACGCATCATTGGCACCTGTGGAAAAAAAATACATTAATTAATTAATTAATTAATTAATTAATTAATTAATTCATTCATTCATTCATTCATTCATTCATTCATTCATTTATTTATTTATGCATTTAGCAGACGCTTTTATCCAAAGCGACTTACAGTGCATTCAGGCTATACATTTTTTACCAGTATGTAAAATTACATACATTCAGTATGCATTCATACAGTACATTCATACATGGTGACTCTTCATATATACTTGTAATATTTTAAAACAAATGATATTTTGTAATATATATCTAGAAATAATAAATTTTAATATTTGTTATTATTCATAAATAACTGTATAATATTTGTTCAGTTTTATTATTATGTATAATTTATTAATAATTTATACTTATTTATAAATAATTTATTATTTATAAATCCTTTTAAATAAATAACATTTTTGAATTCACCCATCACTGAAAATACATTAATACAGGGTAACTTATTATGCATATATATTTATAATATTTATAAAGAAATCATACTTAATATTGTATATTTTAAAATATTATAATTTAATATTACTTTATAATTATTTATAAATAATTAAAACACATAGATATAGACAGACGGATAGACGGATAGATAGATAGATAGAATGATAGGTAGATGGATAGATGGATAGATAGATAGGCAGATGGATAGACAGATGGATAGATAGACAGATGGATAGATAGATAGATAGATAGATAGACAGACAGATGGATAGATAGATAGATAGACAGATAGATAGATAGATAGACATCACTGAAAATACATTAATACAGGGTAACTTATTATGCATATATATTTATAATATTTATAAAGAAATCATACTTAATATTGTATATTTTAAAATATTATAATTTAATATTACTTTATAATTATTTATAAATAATTAAAACACATAGATATAGACAGACGGATAGACGGATAGATAGATAGATAGAATGATAGATAGATGGATAGATGGATAGATAGATAGGCAGATGGATAGACAGATGGATAGATAGACAGATGGACAGATAGATAGATAGATAGATAGATAGATAGATAGATAGATAGATAGATAGATAGATAGATAGATAGATAGATAGATAGATAGATAGATAGATAGATAGATAGATAGATAGATAGATAGATAGATAGGTTTATAGCACTTCAACTTCACTTCTTCAGACCAAACCAAATCAAGAAAATATTCTCCGTGCATGCAGAAACACACATCTGATTGAATTAGGTTTTTGTTTGACACTCAAACTGTCTTCAATGTGTGTTACAGGTAATATACCTATAAAATGTAATTAAATATAAAGTGTGATTAATGGTTCTCCAGCAACCACCGATGAAGTGTAATTAATTAAAAGGGTGTAATTTATGCTGAAGTGAGGTTGAGTTTGTTAAGAGGGATATTGCTGGCAGGTTACAAAACAACATGCTGAATAATTGACGGGTGTAATGCTCCAGTGATTTGAGCAGAACTCTGTAACAGAGCAGCGTATAGAGAGCTGAGTGGATGAAAATAGCCAGAGGTTCTTAAAGTCAAAGGTTGCTATGAATGCAAGATCAAATGCAAGATTCATCATGTAGTTGCTAAGCAATGCTTTGATAGGTTTTCATCATAAATGCTTTAAAGAACTTTACATTAAAATAAATGAGAGTGTAGACAGTATAAACCAAAGGTACAGCCAGTTATAGTTATAAAAGAGGATAAATACAGTTATTCTGAAGGAAGTTTCAGAAGGAACACATAGATGGAAGTTATGTAGTCCTTCTGAAATGTGTCTTAACCACTTTAAGACTCCAGGATCTGAAAATAACATTTATTTAGTGCCAATGAGAGTAAAAATGCTGTAGATGAAAGATAGACTATTTGTCAGTGGGGACAATGTTTTTAGCAAAACATTCTCATTGTCATAGGTTGAAAAAATATGTATTTTTTTATTTAAATATATTATAAAATTAGATATGAAATAAAATTATATTATTTTTATATTATTATAACATTATAATATGACATTTTTATATCAAATATATATATATATATATATATATATATATATATATACATATATATATATATATATATAATTTTAAAATGAAAAAATTACCATTTGCCAGTTGGTGGGCACAAAGGGGACTTTATGTTTTTGTGATAGGTGAAATATGCAA